CCCCCCCCCCCCCCCGGAGATAAACAAACAAGTCTGCAAAACAATTTAAAAAAAAAAAGTGAAAATGCATCAAAACGTTTTTCCACTTCCCATTAATTTGTCCCTTCAATACATAATTGATAATTTACAAAAAATGATAGTCTCCCATTCATCTTTTGCGTTATGTTTTTGAAATAAATTAGAACAAAAACAGAGGGGTAAAAGTAAAGTAAAGTAGCGCGATCTGGGCATGATCAAACACTCTAAGTATTGTCTAAGCGTGTTTTGTGCTTTCTTTTGTTGTACACTCAGATAATGCTGGACAGCAGCAACAGGGAGCTGCTCCACCGCAAACAACGCCCGCGACGCCCGCAGTGACCAAACCAGACCCACCAGATGTACTACCCAAGGCTAAGTGTTTGGAGGCTTTAGCTGCACTCAGGCATGCCAAGTGGTTTCAGGTTTGAATACAAAAAAAAAATCGATCTTATCAATTGCAAAAGATAAAAATTCACATTTTCACTGTTTCGAGTGAAAAAACAGATTCTTTTTTTTTAATCAACAGTTTAAAACATCATTTCATAAGACAAAACGGTAAAGAGCAGTCGAAAAACTTCCAGCCTTGTGAAATTAGTGGAGTCTGTACGAAATAACAAAATTATTTATTAATTGATAGTTTGTATGAGTTTGTTCAATGATTTTGCTCACTTGTTCGCATTTTTCAGTCTGCAATTATCAAATGATGATTATTTTTAAATTAATGTGATGAGGTAATTTCTGGAAAATGGTAGATGCACTGAATGCGATCATCGTAGCAAAAATGAATAATAAAGCAGTATGTAAAATTGGTACGAGTGATTATCGTACGTTTACATCTGCTGGAAAATTATGAATTTGAATTGACATCCAGAATAATCGGGTGATTGAAACAATTCCAGTGCCAATTGATTTTGATAATTCATATTAAAATAATTAAGATGATTTTTCTTTTGAGTTTATGATGATATGAAGTTTTCCAAAATTCGTTATTCTGGATAAATATTAATTAATATCGGTGTATAATTGAGTCTGGGTCTGTCTCGACAAATGACTGAACGTAGTGCATATTTTATCAACGAAAATGATTCTTTTTAATCAATCAAATGAGGTAATTAGCACCGTCGAACATTGAAAGACAGACAGGCACTATTAATTGATTATTTTTACGAGTTTATTCAACGATTTTGCTCACTTGTTCGCATTTTTCAGTCTGTCATTATCGAATGATGATTATTTTTAAATTAATGTGATGAGGTAATTTCCGGAAAATGGTAGATGCACTGAATGCGATCATCATAGCAAAAATAAATAATAAAGCAGTATGTAAAATTGGTACGAGTGATTATCGTACGTTTACATCTGCTGGAAAATTATGACATCCAGAATAATCGGGTGATTGAAACAATTCCAGTGCCAATTGATTTTGATAATTGATATTAAAATAAGTACGATGATTTTTCTTTTGAGTTTATGATGATATGAAGATTTCCAAAATTCGTTATTCTGGATAAGTATTAATTAATATCGGTTTATTACTGAGTCTGGGTCTGTCTCGACAAATGACTGAACGTAGTGCACATTTTATCAACGAAAGTAATTCTTTTTAATCAATCAAATGAGGTAATTAGCACCGTTGAACATTGAAAGACAGACAGGCACAAACACACAGTGAGATATGTGTACCGGGTGTTTTTTTTTATTTATTCATTCGTCAGTGTTTTATCAAGACCATGAAGGTTAGAGAGTTGATTGAAATGATTTTTTCACTTATCAGATAACGAGAAAAGAAAGTTAAATAAACACCCGGTAGTTGAATTAGCATTAATGGGCTGATAGAGAGGCACACGAGGCTGGAAGGTATAGCTAAAGCCCACACAAAGCAAAAATATATGAGGTATTAGGTAGTTTTAGGGTGTCGTCTCCTGGAGAGGTATCTGAGGAATTTGTATTTATTGTTATTTTCTTGTTTGGGATGTTTTTATTACATTTTTTTATGGGCGTTTTCTTCGCTTTCTTTTTCATGAACAGGCTAGGGCTACTTCACTCCAGAGCTGCGTTATGGTCATTCGTATTATGCGAGATCTTTGCAATCGTGTTCCTACGTGGGCACCACTCAATGCTTGGGTAAGAAGTTTGTTTATTGATTAGTTAAGTAAATTTTTTTTTGCTTGGGGAGATGTCTTTTATGGGGGAATTCAAGAGTTTTTTACATGAAAATTTCACTTTTTTCATGGATTAAGAGGCTTTCAGCAAGAAATTTATGTTTAGATGATGAATCTGATGACGAGACTGAGGGTGTCCTGAAAATCCGTCGTACAATGTTGATAACAAGTCATTTGAGATCGACTATTGTCGATGGTAGTATTGGGACATCACGTAGATGATCTGGCAGACTGATAAATAAAACATTTACAAAATAATCTTGTCCCTTTTTGAAGCAAAGATAGCCATATCCATAAATTATAATTACCATTAAATTATTAAGTAGTCAATTAGTTGATATCACTCTTAAATTTTAATTATTGAAGTAATCAGTAATTTGACGATTATTTGGATAAGCGGGAATTCTTTACAAGAAATTTAGTATTATTTGCTGAATAGAAAATTTACAGATCCATATTATTAAATATTTAATTCACCATCAATTGGAAATTTAGGTTTATTAATTATTTTAGTATTTCTAAATCTCGATTAGTATATTTAAACCTTGATCGATGTAAGTCGGTAATTCTTTTAATATTGAAGAATCACAAGATTGATGGCCATCCCTGTTTTGAACTCGAACAATTCAATTGAATTCATTTAGCTCTCAATATTTTTCATTCTTCCATTCACTGAACTGTTAAAATTTTTATTAATTCATTATCCTGACCCTTTTTTGTTCATTCATTTGAAAACATGACTGAATGGTTTTATATAATGAAAAATTAACAGGATGAACTGCATAATTTTTGTTATTAATTTGATTTAATTTAATTTCAGGCGCTTGAGTTGCTGACTGAGAAGGTTATCAGCACTGCTGGATGTCCCCTGTCCCTTGGGGAAGCACTAAGACGACTCTTGGAGTGCGTCGCTGGAGGAATTCTGCTTCCAGGGGGTCCTGGTAATGAAATTCATTCAATCACCTTTTCCATTCCATTCTTCTCAATTCTTCAATTATCTCGATAAACAGTCATTCTACATGAAAAAGTAATGAGATCTTTTTTGTGCAGAATTAAATTCCCCACACAAAATCTCTATTCACATTTTTCCGTCGCACAATTCATTACCGAGATAATCGTTAATAAAAAAGGAAAAAAAATAAAAATTTCACCGATTCCAAAAAAAAAAGAATTCACACATTTAATTCTTTCCAATTCTTCAATTATCTCGTTAAAGAGTTGTTCTACAAGAAAAAGTCATAAGATCTTTTTTGTACAGAATTAAATCCCCCGCAAAAAAGCTCTTCACATTTTTCCCCAGACCCATTCATTGCCGAGATAATTCCAAATGCATAAACTTTTAATAAACAGTCATCTCCAAATGATGAAACTGATGACGAGACTGAGTGTGTCACAACAGTCTGCCCTTCAATATTGAAACCAAGTATTTTGGGATCAACAATTGTGGATGGACCCATTGTGACACAACGCAGATGATTCAGGCAGTCTGACTACCCAAATCCCGAAAAAATGCCAAATCAATTGTGAAAAAAAAATCACCAATGAATTTTTTTATCTTCCAGGACTTGCTGATCCCTGTGAGAAGGAGCCTGTCGACGCAATAGGTGGTATGACAGCTCAACAACGCGAGGACATAACAGCCTCAGCTCAACATGCCCTTCGTCTAGTTGCATTCCGACAGATTCACAAGGTCCTGGGTATGGAGCAGCTTCCACCCCCAAAGCACAAAGCTCGTTTCACGCGTAAACGCAGACGTGACAACAGCAATGGCGAGGGAACAGACAGTGAGGTATCCAAGAAGGATAAAAAAGCTGAAGAGACCAAGGCAGAGATCAAGATGGAGACAGACTCCAAGTAATTAATGTAAAGATAATTAATTAATACTTGTAGACGTATACCGAGCATCAATAATTCATGAAATCATATATTGATTGTCACCAAAACCATTATTTATATTATCGAGGGATAATTGTGGATTTATTGGAGTAGATGATTAAGGACTTGAGGGTGGATCAACATTTTAATAAATGTTTCCACCTGGGGAATTGCTAAGTTTCGAGGAATGAGTGAGGGAAATTACTGATAAGAAGACGTCAACGAATTCATCCAGAAGTTTATGATTTACGAAAAAAAATTATTTTCGATTAATTTCCATGATTTGTCTTAAGTTCTCTTTTATTATCGATTTTTATTATTTTCTGCTGTGAAATACAACATGCAGAGGTTAATATCAAGAGACATTTTCCCCTGGGACTCATCATTGTCGAGATGATTTTTTCCTGTTAAGAATTACTTCAGGTTTTTTAGAATTTCCCCCGAGGGCTCTGGAACCTGCTCCCGCAATATGACAATTACATTTTTTTATTCTATACGAATAACAATTGAATAGAAGTCAATGATGTGTGAACGCGACATATAACGAATCGTTTGAAATTGGGGGATTTAAATGAATAAATTTGATTTAATTTTTACGAGGTAAGATTGTAGGGTGTAGTTTGTATTTCGAGACTCGATGTGTATGTTGTGTGTTTAGTCGTAATGAATATGGAGTGATGAAATGTGAGGATTAATATTCACATTTATGAACTACTGATAATTTTCTGTGTAATTTTTCCACACCACTCCCTCCACAAGAGTTATTACGAAAAAAATTAATGTAATTGAGGATTTTCGCTGATTATTTTGTTCGGTAGATCATTTTGCAGGCCATTGGATTTATGACGTTTGTAGCACTGCTGATGTACTTTGAATATTATCGAAATTATCAATAAACCAAATCTTAACTGAATATTTTGCATTTTTTAATTTTTTCATTTGAATGTATTCAATTTAGGGAATTCATTTCAGCATTGCAAAAAATGTTTGAAACAATTTCTTAGGAAATTTTGGTTCTTTATCGACTGAGGAAATAATTGCACATGCTTACATCAGCGAGGTGATGCCTCAGCATGATTCATGGAATTCATAGATTATTCTAGAACGGTAAGTGATAAACCATTTGTTTTTTTGAAGTTTCAGGTACTGATAATGATTTTACAATGGAAAAACGAGGTGAAAAGAGTGTATTTATGATAAATTATATTTTTAGTTTTCATCATGAAATTCTGTGAATAATGAGTGGTTGTATGAGAAAATGTCACAAGATTTCGTTTGTAGAGCATTTCCTCAGCTACAAAAAATGTTCTGTGACATTTCCTCCTAAAACTGTTCGTTCTTTAGATATTGACAAAAAATAAACATCAGTCTTTGGTAATCGTTAGTTCAACAGAATAAACTTCTGCTTGGTTACTTTCCTAATTATCTCACTAATGAGTCGTTTTAGAAAAAAATATCACGAATAACATTTTGAAGCAAATTTTCCGAGCTACAAAAGATGTCCTATGGAGTTTCCCCCCTAAAACCACTCCCTCCCAACATATTGCCAAAGCCAACAATACACTTTTGGCAACGATTCAAAAAAATCCGTTTTGCCATCATTTTCGGCCTTCACCCCTCAAAAAAACGATGAATAATCCCCTAAAAATGAGATTTCCCCTTAATCCAATCAACGAACTGTCTGAAAATAATCATAAAGCGTCTTTTGTTCGTGAAATCCTATATCAACGCAATGGAAGATGCCAGAACATTGTTCTCCACGCCAATCCCCATTTCCTACGTCACTCGGTGGTGAGCACTGTTGCCAAGCAGTTGGTCAGCTGTTGCCACTGGCCAATCAGCGATCGAGAAAATCATCCTCGCTGCGTCACCCTCCTGCCTCCTGCGAGGGTATAAAAGCCCGAGCCACTGCGACATTTCCAACCAGTGTAAAGTTAAACTTTACGCAGTAAATTCCAAGTGTTTCTTTATTTGTACAAGCCCTCAGAGGAGATTAATAAATTGTCTCTGCGCATTTTGTGAACAAAAAGGTGAGGATAACGATCCATTCCACTATTTCTAATCGAAGTGAATTAATTAATTAACTTCCTTGAGGTATTAAAAGGTTTGAGATTTTTTTTTTCGATTCTAAACGAGCATTTGGGGTTTAATGGCCGTCAATGACGAAAAATTGAAGTTTTTTCCTTCTTATTTATTGTTTGATGAATCACGAGGACGAAATAAAGGTTGAGGGGCTATAACAATAATTTTAGTGGTGGTTATTATGATCTCAAGGGGGAATTAGAGAGGAAAAATCGTAAGAAATTGCGTCAGAATTTTTTTGAGGCTTCGCCTCGATTGATTCCATTATGGCGGCCATTTTATGCAGGGGCCTTGTTCCAATCTCCCATCATTATTTGTATATTCAACCCGTATTTTCCATTAACTCACTAATTTGATGATTTTATCGTTGAATATAATTTTTTTAAATTTTGTTCTTCATTGGGGAATAATTTTTTAAAATTAATTCGAGATTTGGGGAACTGGGGGATGATAATCATCCCTTTTTGGGTAGATTATTTATATTATGGGTGATTAATTGTTTGGAGTTTCGGGGAAACGGAAATGGGAATTGAGTGAGGGGAGACATAAGGGAAATGGCCGCGAGGGGTGCGGCTGCAACGAATGGGGCTGACTCCATTCTAAACTAGTCGATATTCCCCTCGCTTTGTTTTGGTTTTGGGTTTTTTTTTTGGTTTAGTTTGTTTTGTTTAGATCCGGGGAATTATTTTGGTATCAGGAGTGATAATTGATAGGGAATTGCAGATTTCAGTTGTGATAATGATTTTATACCACATTATTAGTATTATTAGTAGTAGTAGTTTTGATTAGTTTATACTATATTATTTTATATTATTTTTTTCGCCTTTTCCGTTTTCGATTCATTCTTCTTCTTGATATATATTTTTTCGGTAACTGTAGAACTGCACCTTTTACGGCCCTACCGACGAATAACCCCATGAAATATCTTTTCGAATAATGAAAGGATACCCATAAATTCGATTTCTATCCTTGTCTTTCCATAAAATAAAAATAGAATACATGACAAAAATTAAGAATTAGAGCCTAAAAATTGTATGCGATTATTATTACGCATATTAATTTTTTTCTGTTTGGGTTTTAGGAAAAATGCAGATATTCGTGAAAACGCTGACGGGCAAGACCATCACCCTCGAGGTCGAGGCCTCTGATACCATCGAGAACGTGAAGGCAAAGATCCAGGATAAGGAGGGAATTCCCCCAGACCAGCAGAGACTGATCTTCGCTGGAAAACAATTGGAAGACGGTCGCACTCTTTCTGATTACAACATCCAGAAGGAATCTACTCTTCACTTGGTCCTTCGACTTCGTGGAGGTATGCAGATCTTCGTCAAGACCCTCACAGGAAAGACCATAACCCTTGAGGTCGAGGCCTCCGACACCATTGAGAATGTGAAGGCTAAAATCCAGGACAAGGAGGGAATTCCCCCAGACCAGCAGAGACTGATCTTCGCTGGAAAGCAGCTTGAGGATGGACGCACTCTTTCTGATTACAACATCCAGAAGGAATCTACTCTTCACTTGGTCCTTCGACTTCGTGGAGGTATGCAAATCTTCGTCAAGACCCTCACAGGAAAGACCATCACCCTCGAGGTCGAGGCCTCCGACACCATCGAGAATGTGAAGGCTAAGATCCAGGATAAGGAGGGAATTCCCCCAGACCAGCAGAGATTGATCTTCGCTGGAAAGCAGCTTGAGGATGGACGCACTCTTTCTGATTACAACATTCAGAAGGAATCTACCCTTCACTTGGTCCTTCGACTTCGTGGAGGTATGCAAATATTCGTCAAGACCCTCACAGGAAAGACCATAACCCTTGAGGTCGAGGCCTCCGACACCATCGAGAATGTGAAGGCTAAAATCCAGGACAAGGAGGGAATTCCCCCAGACCAGCAGAGACTGATCTTCGCTGGAAAGCAGCTTGAGGATGGACGCACTCTTTCTGATTACAACATCCAGAAGGAATCTACTCTTCACTTGGTCCTTCGACTTCGTGGAGGTATGCAAATCTTCGTCAAGACCCTCACAGGAAAGACCATCACCCTCGAGGTCGAGGCCTCCGACACCATCGAGAATGTGAAGGCTAAAATCCAGGATAAGGAGGGAATTCCCCCCGACCAGCAGAGACTGATCTTCGCTGGAAAGCAGCTTGAGGATGGACGCACTCTTTCTGATTACAACATTCAGAAGGAATCTACCCTTCACTTGGTCCTTCGACTTCGTGGAGGTCATTAAATTCTCCATCCCCAATCCATTCTGACTGAGATATTAGCAAGCAACTGTGGTTCTGTCTATACGACAAATTTACTTGTAATCTACATTTTTTTCAACGTTAATAAATCTCATTTTTAAGTTCTGAATATTCCTACTTTATTATTCTACCTCTCAGCATTCCAGTCAAACCAACACAATCACATCTTCATTTCCATACTAGTTACATTGAGATCATCCATTCTAAATGCTAAAAACTGTGGCTTATATTTTGAACATTTACAATTATTTTATTTTTTATTAAAAAGATGTGTTCTGATATATCTTTTACAATTAAATTTAAAAAAAATATCTTTAAAAAATAAATTTTAAGTAAAATAAAATTTTGAACATTTGTAATTATTTTATTTTTTTAAAGATATGTCGTAACACATCTTTTAAAAAATAAAATAATTGCAAATGTTTAAAAAAAATGAGGGAATGATTTTGAAAAAATACTTTTTTTCCAAGTTCACTGCCCTCTGTATATTTGATTGCTTCAATATTGCTCTCTATTATCTTGCGAATGTGAACACAGAAGCCCAAATTTGTGCCCGGTGGCTTGGCGCAGTGGGTAAGTTCGTTGCCTCACATGCGAAAGGTTCCGAGTTCAAATCCCGACCAGGTAGAATGGTGCGATCTAACCATTTAAAGTCTTGATCATCATCGCAGTATACCCTAACCGAATCGAAGCGATGTAAAATAACGATAAAAAAAAAGCCCAAATTATTCGATTTTACGGCCATCTTTATATTTTGTATATTTATCAATCAATCTTACGTATATCGAACCCACAGATTTTCCTGATGAATCAATTAATTTCATTTCGATTTTTCTGCGAACTTGAAATAAAATTGAGGGGTAGTCCTGCAGTCCCATGGCTTTCTTAATAAAATGAATTACATCTTGATTTTAATTACCATTATTATAAAGGATGATCTCGTCCCCGTGTGATATATGTGATCCAGTCGTATTTGCACGTACAAAAAAATTGCACAGACAACTAGAAAATCACTAAATTTTTAATTTTATTGGAATTTTAATGAATTTTATTGAAGAATTTCAACGAAACGTTGATCTTACAAAGACTGGTGATTGACTACTAGTGAGCTAGGTGAGGTTCAAAAAGCTACTGTCCTCGGTGAGGTGCGATGTAAGAATAAATTTGGGGGTTTTCACGATCGTCTGACCGCTCAACCGAAGGTTCCCGATGGTGCTCAAGTTAAATGTTCTGGAATTTTAGTCTCGTTTCTAACACATTTGTTATAGCTTTCAATCGGCTCTACAAAAAAGGTTATAACAAAAATTCCGCTATCTCCCTTTGATTCGGAAATATTCCGCAAAAACTCAACTGGGAGATGAGTCGACTTAAACCGTTTTACCACTTCGCTACTGAATTATAACAATCATGTTGTGTTCGTAGAGAATGACTATGTTGTACATGCACTTCTCCAATCATTATTCATTTTTTCTGCATTTCTTATTTTCTAGAGAGGAAAATTTCGATTAATTTTTCAATGTTGCTAATTATTGAGGGAGTTCACTCAAGGTCATAACTAACATGATCATCTTCTACAACAATATAATTGACATAATTGAAACCTAATAAGGATTGCCTGAGAATGACTCCACTGGCAAAATACAGTATTGAAAAATAAATACTACTATTTCTCATCTCTATCTTTAAAAAAATCAAAATATTTCAATACTATAATTTCTATAGAAAAATGTAATTCAATTGATTTTTTCTATACAACATTTTCCACTGACCAATAGAATAGAATACTTTATTTCCTTAATGCTACTGTTATTATAGTTTTACGTCGACACAAGCCAAAGAAAAATCTCTCCAATAAATTGTTTTTATATCAATAATATGTAATAACAAATGATAATATCACAGTGTCACAATTTTAGCGTTTGCTCAATTTCTAGTACGAGACCGAACACGCGCTATAGCGCCCTGTAATTGTAACAATCATAATTGAAAATCAAAATTAAATTAATCATGAATTAAATTTGCCGCCTCAGACGACTGGAACCAATGAGGAATAAGCGTGACAGACTACTTACGAGATATAGTTATCGACTTTAAGGATATCCAAGTAGTTCAGGCAATTTTTTCTGGGGGAAATCCCCTTCAGAGTTTATAGACTAGACCAAGAGTATTTTTTAGGCGCAGTATAAACTTTATTTTCCGAACATATTTTCGAGAAAACGATTTTTGAAAGAATGAAATTTAATACATTGCGTCCATAAGAGCTGTATACTCCCACCTTCAATCCAATAGTTCATAGTCTTAAAGCATTTTCTCGTACACATAACCGTGTATGACTTTGTTCGTTACACTCTCTAGTTTTTTTGCGACATTAAAAAACATAAGTTTCCAGACAGATAATTGCAAATAATCAAATTAAAAGCTTCTTGATTGGTACGACGGCCATATTGGGTGGTTTGAATCCGTGCGTTCCTAACGTCTGGCAATAGTCCGCTCAAGTGACTACTCGGACCGAATTTACGAGGTTATATACAACACATGTGCAGTGTTGCCGTATGATCATTAGAGGTTAGACCAACGAGAGTCAAGTGTGAAATTGAATAAAATATTGTTCACAATATTCATTGAAGAAATTCCCGAAAAAATGTATTCAATAATGAAAAATCCGAAAAAGTATGGGGACGGCAAGATTTTCGACAAAACTGAAATCTTGCTTGAAAAAAAGTTGCCAATTTGAACGAAGGATATCCTTAAGTGTATGTTCTTTTTAAAATAAACTATAGCGCCACCCTCGATCTTGTTGATCTCCCTTTCATTATGTCCTTTTTCCTATGAGATTCAATATTCTTTTTTTTCAATTCATTGTTCATAACCATTCTGATTGCAAAAAGCAATGCAACTGATGGAAATAATATGTCTCAATTTATTAGCTATTAATTTTTCATATTACAATAAATGACTTGCTCATGTGCTAATCACTGAATAAAATTTCAATCATAATTACAATCCAATTTCTTCTCGAACGTCACCCAGAGAGTCAATTTCCGGAATTCAATATTTGTTGATACTCTGGTAGAAATGCGTGCCAACACTGTTATAAATTTTTATAATTGGTGTACTCGGTAATTCACTTAATCTGCTGTTCATATCACCAATATAATTCCGCGCTTAGAATATCATCACCTGATTAAAAATCAAAGTTTAAAATGATAGTTTGACTTCTGCTTTGTCCTCTTTCGAGGATCTGAAATTCACGTTAATGATTCAGATAATGTTACATAAGTATCATCATATTTATTCTTTACTGTTATGGAATATTAAGTCGGAACTTTTTTTAAAATCATATCAGAAATTTTGAATTTAATTATTATTACTATTTGCTCAAAGTGAAACAATCGATTATCATTTTCATTGTGTTGCATTCCGATTCTTCTATATTTAACGTAAAAAATGTCAGTCTCTCATAATTATAACTTATTGATTCTAATCAACTTTGTTTGAAGAAAACTCCAGTAAACGCAATATTAAGAAAGTTGAATCACTCTATTTTTTCTGACCTAAATGATTTGGACGATTATAATTTGTTTATCAATTGAAAATACAGAGTAATTTGGCTCAGAAAATTCATCTTTTAATTGAGAATTCAAGTAACTTGAATACTTGAAAAGTTCTTCTTTTCATGCTGTTCAAGAGGGTTGAATTTCATTAGATTTTCAGTGAAATTACGAATTGCACGAATTTTTTCTCTTAAACTGAATTAAATGTCTCTTGCCTGAAAATTATTACTGAACTGTCCATGAAATTTAAATTTTTTTTCTAATACTATAATTGCTATTTACTCATAATTATTAGAGAACATTTTTATCTTGAAAAAAAATGAAAGTCGACTTTCCGGAGCAGACTAATGAAATTGTGGGAAAATTATGATTTTCGAAGACGACGACCTTTTTCNCAGACTAATGAAATTGTTAGAAAATTATGATTTTCGAAGACGACGACCTTTTTCTATTTAAATAATTCAATAGTAATCAATTTTTCACACTAAAAATAATTCTTTTCAGAATTGTAACAAATTTGTCTCTTTTTCAGAATTTCACCAAAATTCAATTTCATGGCTAAAAAATATGTTTCTGGAAGTTTGAACCATTTTTATTATTCATTCCTAAAAATGTTGAAAAAAAAGCAATTATTGCAGTGTGTCGTTCGAAAGACGCTGACTGACTATGCTTCATTTTTGAACTTTTCCTAGTCGATTCAATGAAGAAATTGGATGATTGAAAATCTGCAAATAAAAAGTGTTTTGACTTTTGTTTCACGGATAAATACTCATTGTTCAATACTCATTGATTTTAGGGTATACTAAGTATTGGTTTCATTAAACAAAAACCTCGAAAAACAATAAATGACTTGGAAAACCAGGAGATTAATTGTTTTGATTCCACCTTTGACATTCAAATTATAATTATCAATCTAATTATCAATCATCTCAATTACTTTATCAGTTCTTAGCACTTAAGGGAAGGTGTGGCAAAATAGATACCAGATTTAATGACTTGAAGTGGATCAAATCTATTGTTCCGACTTCATTTGATGGTTATAAAAACAAATTGTTCTAAGACTACGTCGTAGGAATTGTAAGGTAAAGGAAAAATGGGGTAAAATGGAAACTGATTTCTTCCTCAATTTTTTATGTTTCAACAATATTGTTCAATTTCTGAAACACGAAAAAAAAATTATTGTTGACTTGTGTCGAGGGGGTGAAGCCCAAATTTTTCTTTGCTCATGTATCCTTTCCTCCCCCCATTGTTTTATGGTGATTTCCTTTGTAAGTAGAAAAGTAGCCATCTTACAAATTTTACAAATAGACAAAAGATTAGTTGTGTAGGGCGCGCAATTGTTTATTGAAAAAAATTAATAATTTCAAAGTTATTTTAGTATACTAAGATAGGAAATCCAAAGCTACTCTATATTTCAAGCTTTAATAGAGTTGAAGTTTATTTGTTAATATCCCTTCCAAATCTAATTTCGCTCTATAAAAAGATGCCGACACGATTCTGTTGGAAAATGTCCGTTAAAAATTTTCTTGATTAATAGTTGAAAAGGACCAACTTTTTCGGGTGCCCATTGTACTCTAATCTTCAATAATTTTTCAGTTGTGAACTTTGCCAAAAAGTAATTTTAAAAAATTCGATTATTTATTGGCCAATGAAACAATTTTCGAAAATTAGAATATTAAAAAAAAAATTCTATTTTGCAAATTTTTCGAGTGTCCATTCTACTCCAGATGTCCATATAGCCCCTTCCCTATCACTGACAAATAACTTCCGATTCAACTTATTAGAAACCAATACATGTGTGGAAAATATTCCTCCAGCTTCTTTAGTTTGTTTTTCCTCTCCAGCCTGACCACCAGTCTCTATCTGATACCACCATCATCATCAACTCGCAGCTTATAGCGTGTTCCAATGATTCTACTGTGTCATTGCATGCCCGGCATTTGATATCCATATAGCCACCTATACCCTCTCTCAGTGAATTGCCACATCTTATTTTCCACTGAACATTTTTATTCAAGAGAATCGGTTAAACACTAATAGAAAGTTCTATTTTCTGGCAGATCCGTTGGGTTTTTCTATGAAACTTTCTGAAAATGAACTGACGGATATTGCGTCCAGGATGATGTTTCACCATGTCGCTGCATCGTCCTCCTTCGCCCCCCTATAATTTCCCCCGCGAAAACATATCGTTACTTTTCCAACAAAGAACTCCAGACAGACCTATGCATGAATAACGAATAACCGTTTAGGGAAATGGACTTCCATCGACGGATAAACGCTTCCATCTATCATTCAGGAGTACTCTAGAGCCCTCATGCCACCAGAGAAGTAGCTCCCACCCACCGCTGACTCCGCAGTCACTCGCAATCCTTCCCTCTAGGAAAAATTCATCCACCAGATATGAACGTAACAGCCTTGTCTCCAAACTTTCACATCTTCACCAGATTCGGTGTTTGGCTGCCGCCCGAATGGCCGTCCGGTTGGAGAAGAATATTATACAAGACCTACGCATGTTTCGTGACAGTCATGCTCTATTCAATGTTCAGCTTCCAATTTATCGGAGTATTTGGATCAATTGGAAATATCAACGAGCTTGTCGAGTCGATCTACACGTCCGCTACAGTCTTCAATTTGGGCTGCAAGATTTTCAATCTGTTGGAAAAACGTAGAGATATTGTGAAACTGCTGGGATTGTTGGAAGCCGACATCTGTCAGATCAAGAGTCAAGCTGAGAAGGAGATACAGGAGAAGTGCAATCGACGAATTTGGTGAATAATCTTGGTAATTTTGCGGAGTTGCGTGCGAAAAAATTTTCGTAGGAAAATCTAGTTAATTCGGTAGATAATTCTATTGGATTTATTGGAAAATTCGGGCAACTTATCTGCGCTTTTTTGTAATTGAATTGTTCAATGGAAAATATTTTGTAGAAAAAATGAATAGTATTTGGGTTTTCTGTACCATTGTTTCTATTGAAATACTTTCTATAGAAATTCTTCGGCTCAATTTTTTCAAGTGATTTTGTTTGATTTTTTTAATGGATAAGAAAGAAAAATTGAGTGAAAAAAAACTTGGAAAATCCGAGTCGAGGTAATCCTATAGAAAATGTTTCAATAGAGAAAGTTAAATAGGAAAATAAAATGCAAGTAATATTTTTTATAAAATAGCTTCTTTTAGACATTCTCTATAGAGAAAATGCGCAGTCAAGCTGGGGAATTCTTTAACAGAATCGGAGAAAAATTAATCGAATTTTTAATAGAAGTTCATTAGAAAATTCTATTGGATTTCTGTTGATCTCTCTATTAGTTTTCGGCTTATTTTATTGAAAAAAACTGCATCTTATCTACGCATTTCTCTCCAATGGGAATGTTCTATGGAAAACATTCTATAGAAAAAATTGAGATTTTGATTTTTCTACAGAAATTCTTCGGCTCAATTTTTTCTATAAAATAGCTTTTCTTACCAATTTTCTATAGAAAAAACACAGTTAATCTGCGGAATTCTTTAACAGAATCAGTGAAAAACTAATAGAATTTTTAATAAAAGTTCTATAGAAAATTCTATTGGCTTTCTGTGGAACTTTGTATTAGTTTTAGGCTGATTCTATTGAAAATTTCTGCATTTTGTCTGCGCATTTCTCTTCAATAGGAATGTTCTATTGAAAAATAGAGTGAAAAACGTGAAAGATTCATGTCGCGGGATTCCCATAAAAAACGTCTCAATAGAAAAAGTTGAATAAAAAAATACAATTCAACTGATATTTTCTATAAAATAACTTCTATTAGACATTTTCTATAGAAAAAACGTGGACTAAAACCACAGAATTCGTCAATAGAATCGGCGGAAACCTAATAAAACTTTCAATAGAAATCCAATAGAATTTTCTATCAAATTCGCTACTTTTTTTCTGCGAAATTTTTTCGTGCGTGACTCTTCGAGTGATAATGATCCATTAATCGTGGTGTTTAAGGAACCGTACGAAATTCCTTTGTCTGTTTTTCGAGACCACGTGTGTTACCATGGTTTTAACGTCGACAGTGAAGCATATTCCGGAGCGTTCGCTACCGCTCAAAGCGTGGCTTCCATTCAACTATGCTGATGGCTACACTTATTGGCCCGTTTACATGCATCAAGTCATAGGCTTGGTCTACGTTGGGATGATCCATGCCTCTTACGACACTTTCATTGTTGGTGTCATGCTCACTCTGTGCAGCCAGCTGAAGATCCTTCAGTACAGGAATTCTGAGATGTCTCTCTTGAACGTGAGAGTGACGACAGTTGCTGTTGTTGATCAGAAAATGTTGGAGAAGGAGTTTGTTACTAATTCTATAAGGCACCATCAGCTGCTGCAACAGTTGAGAATTGATATAATTTCATAGAAAAATACCTGGGAAATTTTATGGAAAAATCTATTAGCTTTATGCTCCATTGCTTCCAAATGGAAGCTTTGTAATCGTGATTTTTTTCGATTTCTTAATTTTGGGTGAGAATGCCTAGAATTGTCATGAAACGTGAAGAAATGATGTTTTTAAAAAATGTCTGTATGTGTGTAGGTATGTGTGTACATGTGTGTTCATATGTCCAGAACTGTCGCCATAACTTGAGAATGATTGAGGCAAAGATGCTGCAATTCTGGCTGCCAATTGGTACTACTGTGACTCAAATTTGTGCTAAATTTCAGCTCGATCGGTTGAGCGATTCCTGAGATATAGCGGTTCTTCGAAAATCTTTTTTTTCCGATATTTCTTGAACCATTCGAGCGAATCGATTTTTTTTTCAAAATACTCATCATGATGATACCTATTTAATTGGATTGAAAAAAGACCTTTACACCCTGAGCAATGTAGTTTTATTCTTGTTTTTGTCATTTTTTTCGCTGAAACTGCTTGTTTGCACGATAACTTAAAGGATGATCGAGGTAGAAACTTGAAACTTAGTATGATTTTAGGTCTTATGGTAACAAAGTTTGGGATTCTGGATGAACGAAATCGGAGCAGTAGTTTCGCAGATATTCGACTTTGTATGTGAAACTCTTTAGCTCAATATCTCAAAAACTATTGGTCCGATTTCAATTTTTTTTTAAATATGCATTTTGATGGCATCTATCTAGATCCCACAAAATATGGGTATACCATCCCATTGAAATTTTTCGAGATATCGTCGTCGGGGTTGAGGCGACAAATTTTTTACAAAAAATATCTCAATAGACTCAGTTCTATGAAAAACAGAATTCTATTGATTTTTTCTATAAAATATTTGTGGCTGAAGACTAATAAAAAGTTCAATAGAAATCCAAAAGAATTTTCCAACGAATTTGCTAGCTCTCCAGTAAAATTTTTTGTATGGATTTTTTTTAACTGTAACGAATGCATTGATGAAGGATTTGCCTTTCAGGTTTGCCGAATCTTTCAACAATATTATAATATATGTGATATTTGTTCAGTATTCGGTGAGCTCGTTCGTAATATGCGTGACTGCCTACAAATTAGTTAATTTGGAATTTGATAATCCGGAGATTATCTTCACGATTTTGTACTGCACAAGCATGATTACACAGACGTTTTTCTACTGCTGGTACGGTAATGAAGTTATCTTGGAGGTGAGTGAGGGATAATCAATTCAGTAGCGAAGTGGTAAAACGGTACAAGTCAATTTTGACTATTGACCAGTCTTCAATGAATATCTCGGAATTTAAAGGAGATAGTAAAATTTTTTGTCATTACCATTTTTGTGGAGCCGGTTGAGTGCTACAAAAATAGTATATAAATAGTGATGCTTCGAGAATTGATAGGCGTGTTAACACGTGCACGGGATTATAGAACCCGGGTTATACAGAAATAAACGCGAATCACACCGTAATTTGCATTAATAATTGTTTCGATTCCAAGGTAACGATATAGTGTGAATCAGGGAATGTTATCCCAGGTATTGGTGGTAAATGCCCAGAGTAAATTGGTCGGATAACAGAACGAGAGGGAGTGAGGTTAGAATGTCCCAACAGGAGACGGTAGGCTTGGGGACGCCCAATGCGAAGGAGAATAAAAGGCTTTCAAGCAGTGAAATCCAGATTGGGGATGGTAGCACATTTCACGAAAAATCGACGCTGAAGGAAACCCCAGTGAGGCACGCTGATGGAGCCTCTGGGGCTCCTGCTGCCCTGATTAAAAAGAAAAGAGGGAGGCCGATTGGCAGCAAGAACAAGAAAAAAAGACTAATCGAGACAGGTAAACAGACTTCACGAAAAACTCGGGTGACGACGAGCAAAGTCCAGAAACCGAGAACGGTTGAGACCAGGACCCCAAGAATTGAGGAGTTCCTAAAGGGCAAGGACAGACACGAGGATGAAACACTCGAAAGTGAAGACCGAGAGAGTTTTGAAGGGGCGTTTCCCCCAGTGAACTTCGTTTATTCGGTGTCGAACCGACAGAGCACCCGACAGTATGAGAACTCAGAGGAGGAGGACGAGCCTGAGGCAGCTTTCAATGGTGCGTACACGGTGACAGTGAAGCGAATGAGGAGGGCGACGATGAAGCCTCCCTGGACGAGGAGGATGAGGTGATCCTCAAATCATTGGTGACACTGGCCAAGGAGCAAGAACAATCTGGGGAAAGCCCAGGGACATTGTCACCACTGGCACCAACATTAACGCCGATCTACTCCACGTTGGATGAGGGCACACCCCGGATTAGGAGATGAGACGACGAGAAGGGGAATCCTGAAGGTTTGGACAACAAAAGCATCATCACCCATCATGAGGTAGGTACACAAACCTCGGTGGCACTCCCTGTAACGGAATGTAGGATGCAAGAATGCCTTGATGGGTTCGAAAGAAGAATAGAGCAAAAACTCGAGCTGGAGCTTTGCTACGTACAAAAATTCATTTTCAAGTCAAGAAAGATCCACGCAGAAATCCTAGCGGATAAGGAGAGGATTTTAGGTGAGCTGAAGTGGACGAGGGCTGAGCTGGAGAAGAAAGAGCATCTAAGGGTGAGAGAGGTTGAGGAAATGAAAAACAGGTGGCTGGCAGAGAAACGAACGCTTGAGGATCTCAGGCATCAGCTTCAGACGAAAGAGCAGGAGCTACATGAGGCTCGCAAAATCAACGTTCTTAACAACAATTACATACCATATGGGAACAAAATCCCAGACACTAGTGATGGTACTTCCTTGAAAAAGAAGCGTCAAACCACACGTTGGAATACTGCAGCCCCTGGTGGAAACAACCAGTGGAAACCCCCCACCCACGACGATAATCCATATCCAACATATTCTCAAGCACCAGACGAGACAAGAGCACACGACCGACAGATCCCAACACACAACCAGCACACAGGTAGCCGCGCGTCACACCCACGCCAGCAGGGGGGAATTTCTACGGAAAAGTAGAGGGCCGACCCTCCTAGTCATTCCAATACCTGGAACGACTGGGACTATCGTCAGCAGCATTATCCAGCCCCACCGCAAGCTAGCCCTGAGGATGGCCAAGACCACTCAGATCACGATGCAGGCTTTCGAGATGAGGAACAGGTTAATCGATCACAGAGGCGAACCCGGCCGCTATCTCTACCAGGAGCTCAATTGGATTGGGAAATGGCGGAGAGGCGAAGGAGACGTCAGAATATCCTGATCAAAGGATTGAATGGTAGTACTAGCATGGCACGACGAGAGCTGGAGAACATGGTCAGAGAACGCCTTGATATTGACCCGAAAATTACCAGAATGTTTGGGACCAGAGAGGGCTTCGTGGCAACTCTTAAATCGATGGACATCAAGAAGGTGGTTATGGGGAGAAAATATTTGCTGAAAGGTAGTGATATTTGGATCGAGGACGACTGGACTCCCCGAGAGAGGGAGGTACAGGATTGGTTATTGGCGGAAGAGCTTGTAATGACGGCACAGTTAGGAAAGGCTACATGAAGATTTGGGACCAGGAAAACCTTTACGTGTGGAACGAGTTGAGAGGGAATTTGGAGCAGCGGCCCTTTCCTAGGGGGAGACGTGGCTGGTATTGACTGTATCACATGGAATATCGCCGGGAGCAAAAACTTGTGGTTAGCGTTGAACTTTTTATCTAAGTATGATGTGATTCCACTTCAGGAGACCTGGGTGGAAGAAAAAAGTCAAGCGAGAGTACTAGAAAGACTGAGTAAAAACTTCAAGGACCACGAGTGGTCTGCGAAACCCGCAATAAGAATCAATCGAAAAGGGCGAGGAAGTGGCGGACACCTTGCTGGCATAAGGAAAAGCATTCGTAACGACTGGCAGGTGGAAGATTGGGATCAGGGGCTGGTCCTTAAGAAGGCTTCAAAGGAGGAAAATGTATATATTATCTCAGTTTACAATAACGTAGGCATACCAAAAGTGGAAAACGCCATAAGAAATCTCGTACTAAATGCCAGTGATGAAGGTGTCTCTGTGATAGTAGTCGGAGACCTGAACGCCAGGATTGGGACGGAACAAGGTGTCTCTGAGTGGGGAGGAGAAGCGTTACGGGAAAGAATGTCCTATGACCAAGAGTTGAACAGTGAAGGTAAGAAACTTCTAAAACTGTGTGAAGAACTTGGGCTTATCATAGAGAACAGGAGAGCCAAAGGTGATGAAGAGGGCATGCTGACTCTAGTCGGGGAGGGGGGGGGGGGTTGTTCAGTTCTGGATCTGGTACTGACGATGGAAACCCTCGATGGGCCGAGAGTAGAGTGAGTGAAGGTGGTCATCAGGACAGAATCCGATCATCTCTCTGTGACTTTCGGCCTGAGTACAGAGGGAAAGCAGCCTGAGAGACATTTAGAGACAGATGAGGCTAGAGCGAAGAGGCTGCGCTGGAGTGCAGAGCACCGGGAGATCTACCAACAAGAGCTTAAAGAGGTATGGATCCAGAGAGCGTCGGCTGGGACTGACGACCGAACTTGAGAGAAGGTGAAAGAAAGTATCCGTGTTGCCGCTGACAGAGCAGGAATGATCAGAAAACCTAAAAAGTACACTGGCGAGCCCAGCTAGTTTACTAAGGAGTGAAAACTGCAGAGAAAAAGAGTGTGAAACTGTCTAAAAAATCTCCTCAGAGTACGATCCCAGCGGAACAAGCGAGTACTAAGCACTGAGAGAAAAAAGCTGAAGGTCACCACTGAAAAAGCGGGATTTGCCTGGATCGAAAAGAGGCTGAAGGAAGTTGAAGAAAGCTCCAACTTGGCAGAGTGGTGGCTGGCTATCAACAAATTTAGAGCTAAAAAGGCGAAGAGAGGGCAGAATATCACCAAGGAGCGATGGTTGGGGCACTACTCGACCTTATTGGGAGCAATACAGGGGGAATCACCCCCTGTGGATTCCCAGCAGCTGAGAATGAAGACGGTGTGCTAGGGAAACTGACGGGAGAGGACGAAGAGACGGAACAGCTCCTAAACCGGGACTTCTCCCTCCAGGAACTGAAATTTACGCTGAAGGGCATGAAAAATAAAAAGGCGACAGGTGAAGATGAACTACCAGTTGAACTCATCAAGGTTGTCCCAGAAGAGATGCTCCCGAGTGTGCTGGCTGCCATCAACCAAATCTGGCAGGACTGTAAACTCCCAGGAGGATGGGAAGGGGCCAGAATTTGCTCCATCTACAAGTCAGGAGATGAAAATGATCCGAAGAACTATCGCGGAATTTCCCTATTGGACTTAGGATACAAAATACTCACCAATATGATGGCACAAAGGATTTCCTTCTGGGTGGAAAAGAATAAACTGTTGCGCGAGAGCCAGGTAGGTTTTCGTCCCGGGAGAGGAACAAGGGAGCACATTTTCACGTTAAACTCACTCATCAGTAACCGTTTGAAGACCCCAGGGGGAAGGTTGTATGTTACTTTTGTGGATTACAAAGCAGCCTTCGGCAGGGTGGATAGGGGATTACTCATGGAGAAACTGCGGAAATTGGGAATACGAGGTCGTATGCTCGCGATGATCCAGGAGATTTACAGGCTCACCACCTGTGAAGTGATGACTGAGGAGGGAGCCACGGATAGGTTCCAAGTGAGCACAGGAGTCAGACAGGGCTGCCCCCTCAGCCCTCTGCTTTTTAATATTATGTTGGATGACATCGACGAGGAATGGGAGAGAAATGGCTTGGGTGGCGCTTGGATTGGAAAAGCCAAGATTTTCTGCCTGAAATATGCGGATGACGTTGCGCTTGTAGCTGAGCATCCTGAGGACATGCAAAAGATGCTGAAACGGCTGGAAAACCACGCAGATAGGAACCGACTGACTGTGAGTGAAACTAAGACTAAGATAATGATATTTAAGAACGGGGGGAAGAAGTTGCAGCGAGAAAAATGGGAATACAAGGGGAAAGCCATTGAAGTTGTTGACGAGTTTAAGTACTTGGGGAGGACTCCACGACTGCAGCATGAGGCTGGAAGTGATTTAGGATATAAGTTAAGATTGTGGTGATTGAGACTGAATGGTCATTAGGTGCTAACTCATTGCAATTTAACTATACAAATACCTTCCTTTGTAAGTTCTAGTGCTGAGAACCTTTCTGTACCTGGTCACCCATGAAGGGTTATATAAACATATATATATTCTGTATTACAATTGGGAAGGGACTGTAAAAGGCCATAAAAGGCCATACTATCTGGCAAATAAATATTATTATTATTATTATTATTATTATTAGTATATAAATAGTATATTATTAAGTTTTACCACTTCGCTACTGAATTATTGAATTAATTATTAAAACATGATTGCGTATGTCTCTTCGAAATCTTTCCTCTGTCTATCCATATGTGAAAAAATTTCATTAAAAAAATCTAGCCAATTCGAAAAATTACCTATTCCTGGATATAACACTGATACGTTTGCCCATACGGAAAAATATATATTCTGAAAATAATATATTTTATGTATGGAATTGGTCTGATTTGTATAAAAAAAATTAAATAAAATTATAAGATTGAACGAACTTACCAAGTGAAGTTCAGTCACAATTATGTGAGCCGTCTCGTCCGAATAGATCAAGTGTAGTCATGTTTTCCTACTGGTCCTATCACAGTAATTTTAGAGAATTCCAGAAAACAAATGCCTCTTCACGGGTTGGCATGCCGATAGTCCTCTATTTTCTACGTCATTATTTCAGAAAGATTCTTCAAATTGAACAAAGGGCGGGTAAACAATTGGGAGGGCTTGATCTATTCGGACGAGACGGCTCACATAATTGTGACTGAACTTCACTTGATAAGTTCGTTCAATCTTACAATTATATTTCGCCGTCTCGTCCTCTAGATCAAGTGTAGTTATTCGGAGTAGACAATTTGAAGACCACATTTATCATAACAATTAATTTTATTAATTAAACATTCAAATTTATTTATTTTTTTGTATTACAAATTAAAGACGTCTACATTATTAATCTTCATTTTCGAACGCGCCTACAATGGCTCTAGCCAAGCTCTGAGATTCAATTAGTGGACGGTTATAAAACCTGGCAAAAACTTGCGATTCTTGCGACCAACCTACAGTTTTTCTAATTGATTCTACACTAACCCCTCTTTGGGCTGCCTTGGACGTGGCTGCATGACGAGTACTATGTGCTGAATAAATTTGTGGGTCGATATTACATTCTTTCAAATAATCTTTGATCCATTTACTCAACGTCTGTTTGCTAGCAGTCTTGAAAGGTTTCTTGCAAGTGNATCCTTGCCCAAAGTAATCCTGGTCTTTTGAGCTGATTCAATTATCAAGCCAAATTTTGATACTTNATGGAATTTCAAGTAAAGGTTATGGGTGGTTACGTCGCGAAGTCTTGATACGATCAGTAATAACAATGTAAATTTTTTCTTCTGTTACCCTAATATTATCAATGTTAATAAGCGACAAAGTCTGAACTCGTTGAGCGGTAATTAATGCTAACAGAACAATCAGTTTTTTAGATAGGCGTTCGAAACTCCAGTTTGGCAATGGATGAAGCATTGATAGTTCCACGAGCACTGGTTTAGGATCCCACATAAAATCGTATTTCGCTTTTTGAGGCTTTACCGAACTAACTCCTTTGAAAAAACGTTTAATTGCTGAATTTTCTCCAAGATCCAATTCTAATATGAAAGATAACGCCGAACGATAAGTGTTCAGTGATGCATATGAATTGACACTGTCCAATTTTTGCGATAAAAAATCCAAAACTTCAGTGACTGTTGTCTCGAATGCAGAATGATCCTTCTTTTGGCAAAATTCCCACCAATATTTCCATACTGAGTTGTATTGATTCAAAGTACCAGAAGCTATCGAAGCGCTGACCATTGGTAAAGCTGATTCTGGGAAACCCTTTCTCAAGTATGCCATCCTGATAATTTCCCGGCTACCAGGGTAAGGCTCGCGTGAAGGGGGTGCTCTCTGCTATAAATGAAAGAAAGTAAATCCATTCGTGGTTTAAAGAAAATTGGTTCTGATGTGCACATTTCCATAAACTGTGGAAACCAGCACTGAGAGGGCCAAAAAGGCACAACCACCACGCCTGTCGCTTTATCTTCCATAATTTTTTGTAGCACTCGGGATACAACTGAAAACGGTGGAAAAGCATAGAACTCCAGATCAAACCAATTTACGGTAAAAGCGTCAACTGCTACTGAGTGAGAATCCTGACTCCACGATATGTACTTGTCACACTTGAAATTATCGGAGGAAGCAAATAAATCAATATTCCTTTTCCCAAACACTTCACAAATTTTTTGAAAAGCCCAATCTGCTAATTCCCATTCTGTGTCAGGTTGCAATTTACGAGATTCGTAATCAGCTTCTTTGTTATCCGCAGAACTTACGTATGACGCAAAGACCCAAATATTTCTATCTTCACACCAGTTCCATATTTTCTCTGTTTCTTCATGTAATTTTTTGAATTGAATGCTACCATATTTATTAATACATGAGATTGCTGTTGTATTATCAATGCGTAATAATAATTGGCAATCGTGGTAATCAGAAGCAAAATGTTGTAACGCAAGAAAAGCTGCTCGAATTTCCAAGATATTGATATGAGACTTGGTTTCATTCAATCGCCACCATCCATTGGTGCGTTGTCCATTGCAAAAAGCTCCCCAACCCGACAGTGAGACATCAGAAAAAATTTCCCCGTGAAGTGACATTTGTTTTCTGGAATTCTCTAAAATTACTGTGATAGGACCAGTAGGATAACATGACTACACTTGATCTAGAGGACGAGACGGCGAAATATAATATTGGGTGTGTGAATATGACTCCGCCCTTTTTTGTTCAAATAAAACACATTTGCTTGTTTAGAAAATTAAAGAAAAGTTTATTGAAAGTATGCTCCATCTGCAGCTACAACCTTCGCCCATCTTTCAGGTAATTTACGTATTCCTTGCCTGAAGAAATCCTGGTCTTTTGAGCTGATCCAATTATCAAGTCAAATTTTGATACTTTCGTATGAAGTGAACCGTTCTCGCGTAAGATCTAACTGCAGTGTTCGGAATAAGTGGTAATCCGAAGGAGCTATGTCTGGCGAATATGGCGGGTGGAGTAGCACTTCCCAGTCCTGTCCATCTAAATATCTTTTTACAACTTGAGCGGTATGCGGTTTGGCATTGTCATGTTGAAGAATTAATTTACTGTGCCTATTCATCCATTCTGGTCGTTTTTCTTCTATGGCTCGCTTCAAACGCATTAGTTGTCGTCGGTAAATTTCTCCATTAATAGTTTGAGAGGGTTCGAGCAACTCATAATATACAACACCTCTCTGATCCCACCAAATGCAGAGCATAACCTTGGCACTGTGAATATTTCTTTTTGGCGTTTAGGATTCTCATAATATATCCATTTTTCATCTCCTGTGACTATTCGATGCAAAAACCCGTTTCTTTACTGTCTTTGAAGTAGCATTTCACAAATTGTTTTTCGACGTTCCATGTCTGTTTCTTTCAATTCATATGGAACCCAGTTATCAACTTTTTGAACCATTCCCATTGCTTTTAAACGCTTTGCAACAGTTGATCGTTCAACATTTAATGCTGCAGCCAATTCTGATTGAGTTTGGCAAGAATCCTGTGCCAATAATGCCTCCAATTCAGCATCTTCAAATTTTTTTGGTGGTTTTCTATGTTCTCTGTCCTCAGTGCCAAAATCATTATTTTGAAATCGTCGAAACCATTCCTTGCAAGTTGTATTAGATGGAGCATGCTCACCGTAAATCTCCACAAGCAAACGATGAGTTTCCGCTACACTTTTCTCTGCAATATAATAGTGTAATAACACTTCCCGCAAATGCTGTTTACTTGGAACAAAAACCGACATTGTCACGGAGGTAAAAACACTTGTTGCTTACATTTCAACCAAATGTCACGTAGTGCGTTTGACAGCTGACATAAAGTACTATCGAATACAAGTGTTGCCATTTATTAGTGCACGTAAGCAATACTAAAAACGACATCTGTTGGGAAAGGGCGGAGTCATATTCACACACCTAATATTATTTTATATGTTTTATATATTTTTTATATAAATCTTCTATATATTCCAAGAATCTATTAAATTGGCCTATATTATATATATTTTTTGTTTTTCTATGGTGGATGACGATAAAATTATTCTTAAATAGAGCGCCAATATCGGTAACTCTCTGTACACATCGAGATGGTATTCCCTGAATGCGGGAACTGTGCGAGATGTCACGATGGTAATTCACAGGATGCAGCATTCCATGAAATTCTCCTGCAGTCCTTTGTTCATCCTCTCTGTTGACTCCTTAAAAAATGTGAGTTTATTCATGCGCTCATGATTGCGTATCACCCAAAGGAAAAAGTACTTCTTACCAGTACCGACCGGTACTTGGAGGAAGTGAGAAAAGCGAACATTATCGACGGATAAGATGATTTTTCTTGTGCATTTTTGTAAATACAAGTATTCAGAGAAGATATTTTGTAGGAAAAAATCAGTAGATTGTGATTTTTATGGGTGCTTTTCAAACCGAATTGATTTCCACTTTTGGGAATCTTAATTCACGTTATTCTGACCGTAATTTACGATTTGAAAAGTGTAATCTACCCGTTTGAGAAAATCGTAAATTACATTTTTGAAAACGTGAATTACTATTTCACAAACGTATTTTACCTTCAGATTTTTCTGTGTGTTCGTTTGTGCTTCAACATTTGGATCTTCATTTGTAATCTTGAATGAATTCCTAAAAAAAATTATGAGTACCGGATTTGAGTACTATTGCTAGTTCATATTGAGTTCTGTCGGTACTTTTGAACAGAACCAGTCAGGTCGAGGGGCTATTCACAAGTGTAATCGTGAAATCAATGTAATCATTGTAATCACATGATTACCATATTTGTAATCAAGATTTGGTAATCAAGTGGTATTCATTTGTAATCAGTGTAATCTTTCGTAGTTGCTCTTAGTGAGACCGTGAATTTTGTCTTTGAATTTTCGAGCGCGTCAGTTTCACCAACTGTAAGTCTCAGAGTTCCCTGGATCAATTTTCCTTAGAATCCCGGATGTTTATGGTTTAAAACCTTGCATAGTCAATGCGTTTTGCACAGAGCATTTGTCCGTAGAAAATTGATTCAACAAAGTTAAAATTTCTTCTTATTCTGGAGAACCAACGACTGAATTATCTTTGAATTATCTGCTGGTAAGTTTCATGCTCCATCAATGGTAGATATTCAGTAAATTTATTTTGCTGATAGCACTTATAAATGCCCAAATTTTTAGATGGAGTGATGGAACTGCATTCCTCTGTTCTAATTCCCACCCCTCCTTCCTCATTTCTTTGCAGGTTCTAATAATTAATTATTCCATCAATTCATATTTAATAAGAGGCCATTTTTTGTGATTTCAATGATTACGGAGGTTTGGTAATCATAGAATGTAATCGACGAAATCATTTGTAATCATTTAATCACATTCTGTGCTCTTGGTAATCACAGTTATCACATAGGCGAATGGTAATCAGTGTAATCAGTCCCGTAATCCTGGGTAATCGATTACATTTTGTAATCGCGGTGTCACCCAATTTGCCTGTGAATAGCCCCTCGAGTTAGGTACTCAGTACAAGTACTTTTTTTACTTGTCCCGAGTAGCAAAAGTACTTGTGACAAGTACCGAGGTACTTCTCGCCAGTACCTAAGCATCCAATTCTTTTGTGACTTCGAGGAAGTACAAAATTTGCCTTTTCCCCACAAACCCTCTGGTACTGGGTAAAAGTACTTTTTCTACTGATCAGAAGTAATTTTTTTGAGCATATGCCTCAATGATTATGTAATTGTCGACAGATTATGAAGGTGACGTACAGCACATTCAGCGTTCTAATAAAATCGTAAAATGCTGGGACTTCGAAGAGCAAGTGATTCCGGTCAAACAGGGTACTATAATCATCATTGAGCTAGTATATTGTCTCCCTGCTGTACAGCATCGCATGTAAAAATAGTTAGGGGAGGATGGGGCAAAACGGCCCCCCTTCAATGGTCAATATTTTCCGATTCAATAATCCGATTGGGATGAGTTAGAGCTCGTTTTGAAGAATGAAAAATTATCTTCAAAATGAAGTTGAAACTGGGAATTTTCACAATGTCATTCACAAGTTATTGACAATTGAAGGGGGGGCCGTTTTGCCCCACCCTCCCCTACTTTGAGATCAAGTGAAGAATGTCAGTGATTGTTAATTGGGACTTTGAATTGGGATGATATACACATGTACAACAGCAATTGTGATTCTTTGAAAAACCTTCCTTTCGTGAGAATGACATAGAAGCACTTTAACTTCATCTCTCCAACAATATTTATGATTCAAGACATTGCGTTTTAAATCAATCACTGGAGAAACGCAAATTTTCTGAAGAATATACTGACTCCTTTATCGCAGGTGACCATCATTTCAGTTTTTGCTTTCTGACTGACAAAGAAAGCTCTGAATAAGTCACAAGCCAATAATTTCCACATCGATCCTTCCTATTTTCTGGCTACCGAATTGTCTTCTCTTGCCTATAATTCCGCAAATTCTTTTTTTTTCACGAAGGCCGAAGGTAATTCAGCCGCCCTCCTGCCTTTTTTCGAAGAAGTGATCAGTCACGCAAAGAATAAATGGAATTACGAAAGAATACAGTGACACACGTTATTCATAAATAATGGGTTGTAAGAAGTGAATAAGTCAGTATTGGTGGAAGAAAGAGTTTTCTGTCCTGTATTATAAACTATTCATGCAGCTATTATTCTAATAATGGTGTAATGTTTCCCCTCGCGAAGGGAGAGGGGACACGTCAAGCCATCCAGTGTAGCGAACTTGAGCAAAACGAAGACATCTCTTGATGTTGAAGTCTATCTATCTATCGGTAATGGAAGCAGACCCTCTCTTTTTGCATATATCCGTTTTTAAAGCATGTGGTATATGGCCACCTGCCGAGTGGACATCACTGTGGAAGAGAATGTTATATAAAAGTTACTCATTCCTAATTGTTGGGATAATATGTTCAAACTGTGTATTGCAGTCTGTTGATGCTTTCACGTCGATGGGAAGAATCAACGATTTAGTTGAAACACTTTATATTCTTGCAGCGGGATGCAATCTCTCCTATAAAGCCTTCAACGTAGTAATAAAACGGCAGGATATTATCAAATTGTTGGCCTTGCCGAGGTCCAATCAGTGTCATGTATTGAGTTGTGAGGAGGAAGCATTCAGGAGGAAATATCATCTTCGCGTCAGGTAAGGAAAATTCTATTGAATTTCTACTGAAAATTCCATTAGTTATCCCCCAGATTTGGTCAATTGCGTTATTGTTGAATATGTGGACATACAGCATTGTCAGTGTGACACTTGCCAGCGTAACTGGATTATGCTGATCAAGCGATAAATTATAAACAATCAATGTATTGTAGTAAATGAGAGAGTTTTAGTTCATTAAAGGGGTGGATTTATTTTAATGACAGTAAGAGAGAGAAATTGATTCATCTATTTCTATTGATTCATCTATTACCTAGACAAAAGACTGACTCCTCGTAATCAATACATCATTCAATTGTCACGTGATTCACACTTCTGGCGGAGGGAAGGGGTTATTCATTCATTTCAAGCATTCCATAACAGTATTATTTAACCCTCGATCACTCGCGCTCGCCACCAGCCTTCATCCACCGCACGGTTAGCGCAGCGTCGCTGCGTTAAACCGAGTGCGCTGTTGCCATCTTGGCGCTTACCGCTATGCGCATATTCCAAGTGTTGCAATAAATGTAGCAACACTGTCGTTCGAGGGATCGACGGGACTCACTCGCACCGGGCGGCACGGCGCCACTTGTCTGTCCGTTCGACGTTTCTTCTTTTTTTAATTAAATTGATTCCCCGAGAAAAAATGGACAATGCCAGCGTTCAATAAAAGGATTGACCTAGGAACTCTAATTTTTTCAGAATTTTTAAGCATTGAGAAACACGCTAAAATATAAAAAAACAAAAGCACCTCGTCGTCGCTCGATCACTCGCTCATTGGAGCGAGTGATCGAGGGTTAAGGGGAAACGGAACCCCTGCGCCAATATGAACTTTTAGAATTGTGTTTTCTCCTGCAATTATTATTTGTTATTTATCAAACTACTTCATTGACTCAACAATGCAATGATCGAGTCAATAAAGTAGTTTCATAGATAAAAATTAATAATTGTGGGAGAAAACACAATTCTAAAAATTCATATACACAAAGGGGTTCCGTTTCCCCTTAAGAGACGATTGAGACTGCACACATCAGAACTGAATTGGACTTCGACACGTACAAAAATCGTAAACTCTTTGTAATCAGTCAGATGACACAGTAATTATAATCAAGTAATGAATTCTCATATTTAAATGCTGATAAACCATTGGTGGTATTTATCCCTTCAAACCTAGCACCTACTATAATTATAAGTACCCCCCGCGCTGGGTACAACCTTGACGAAACCTTGGTTAAACCCTGCTTAACCTCCGACTAATACCCGACTAAACTCCGACTAAACACTGGCTAAACTCCGATTAAATCCCGAGTCAACAATGATTAAACCTCGATTAAATGCTTTTTAAGGCTATAATTACAAAGCAAATGATGTAATCACTACTATCTTCGAACTCGACCGTGATAATTAACACGTACAAAAATGTTCATGGCCACGGCCATGATCTTTTGGCCGCTTGCCATGGCCTTTGACCTTTGTGACCTGTATGCCCCTGGGCCCCCTGAGACCTTCAAGGTCATAAGGGCCATAAGAGTCACAAGGTACAACAAGGTTACGAGGGTCAAGAGGGTCAAACTCCCTTACTTGATTATTTGATTATAAGTTTTTTTTTTTTTCATGGCAATGCCATGGCAATGTCCCTCAGCAGCGCCGTGGCAACTCCATGGCAAAGGCCATGGCAAGCAGCCAAGAGACCATGGCCACGGCTATGAACATTTTTGTACGTGATATATAACATACAAACGAATATTTTAAGCCATAATTGAAAAGATTTCAACGCTTATTTTTTGAATGATCGTCGAAAAACTAAATTTGAAAAAAAGCTCACATACATGCACACATGCATACATACATATTACATACGGACACCATCGAAAAACAGCATATTCGAAATCCTGAGATCAAAATTAGTTATTGTCACACAAAAATGGGAATTTCAGATTTGACGAATACAATGCTTCCATTCGGAAGCAAAAACTAAGAAAATTTGAGGCGAGGAATTTCTATAGCAAATATCTCAACTGAATATTTTCGACTGCACAATTCTATAAACAAAACGTATAGATGGCTGCGCGATTATTCCATAGAATCAACCAAAAACTAACAGAAAGTTCAATAGAAATCGTACATTTTTTCGTACTTGATGTTTTTATTTCTACATAAAATGTTTCAGATATCGGCACAATCCTAATTTTAATTAAAGTTAAATTGTTAAATTGTGAATAAGTTGTTAATATTACCAATTTTTGGATTATTAAATTAACCATCAATTTAAATATTCAAATTTCGAATGATTTATCAACCAATAATTGATAAATTGAAATTCCCAATAATTATATTATTTTTCAAATTTCAATGAAGATAAGTAAATCTTAATTATTGTAAGTTGTAACTTTTCATAATATTACTAAATTAATGATTGATGCCGATCTATGAAAGGTTTATAATTTTTCAAAATCACGATGTTCCAGGAATTCGACAATTTTACTATGCACAGTTCTCGAATTCACTATTGTCAACATGATCATATCATCAATCTTCGGCAATATTCCGGAACGTACATTGCCTATTAAAATATGGCTTCCATCAAATTTCACTGAGGGATACAGATATTGGATGATATACTGCTCTCAACTGATAGCTTTCACATACGCAGGAACATTCCACGTTTTCTACGATACATTTATTATTGGCGTTATGATAACTCTGTGTGGGCACCTCCAGATTCTTCAGTACAGGAATTCCAAAATGGCTGCACCAGATATACAATTTCAAAATTATAACTTTGGAGGTGCGACGCGAGGAGAGATATCCAGGATAGATGAGGGTAGGAATGACTATAGAAGGAAAAATTTTCCTCAATTTCAACTAGTTATTAAAAATATCAATTAAAACCTTGAAAAATTCCGCAGCTTATCTGAGCTTTTTTTTTCGATAGCAATGTTCAGTGGAAAATATTCTATAAGAAACGTCAATAGGATTCGATTTTGCTATACAACTTATTCTATTGAGATTTTTTCTATATAATTCAATTTTTTTCTATTTTTCTATTATTTCTTCTATTTCTATTATTTTTCAATTCTATTCTTTCTATTTTCTATCCTCGGCCCAAATTTTTGTACGCCCAGAAAAATGTTTTGTTTTAATCAAATAAAAATCTTCATTTGAAATTTTTTACTTATTTCAAGAAAAAGGATTTAATTATATTAAACAAACATATATATAACTATTCATCTGATATAAATAATGATTTTTGTTGGATCAAATAAAGATTTATTAATAGTAAAGAAATATTTATTTAATATAAACAAAACTTCGAATAAATTTTTTTATTCAATTAGAAAAAAAAATCATTTGAGGCCCGGTTGCACCACCTCCTGTTAAAATTACCAGCCAGTAAACCTCTGGTAAATCTTTGATAAATATTATTCGGATGTTACTGGAGGTTTATCGAGAGTCTACTTAACAGAGATTTATCCCCCCGGTAAATGTCTGTTAAGTAATCCTCAATTAGTTTACAATGATTTCATTTTTTAAACTTTGAAAGGTTTGAGTTTGATTTTTCATTTTAAACCTTTAGGAAACATTTTAAAAATCTGAAAAAAAATGGAAAGTCTGCTTTTGGAACAGAATTGATAAAATAATTAGAAAATCGCAATATTTGAAAATTAGGGGAGAGTGGGGCGAAATGAAACGACCCGGCAAAGTAAAACGAGGCGTAGAATGAAACGTGGAGGAAAGTGAAACGGTAGCGAATTTCATTCTTAAGGGTCAAATAGTTTTGAGGGTCAAATGAGAGAGTGATCAGGAGGATCGAAAGTTCTTAAAGGTCAAGTGGGAGAGACAAGTACAGTAATCAGAAGAGTCGAATAGGAGAGAAAGGGGCAGAGATCACTCTACTTGTTTCTGCCATAAGACCCTGAGAAAGTTACAGCCATCTGATTTCTTCCACTGTTTCTCAACACTGTTCGACCTTTCGTTATTTTTTTTGGTAATGGGGATAGAGGGGTAAAAGGGACCGTGTAATTAAAATGGACCACAAACTGTTTTTCATTTAAGGAGAGGTTACTATGAGTTTTAAGTCACGGAATATTGCAGTGAGATTTATCGTACATTGAAGATCGATTATATATCTTGAAAAAATAAAGGAGTGCAAAAAAAGATTGTTTATTGTATGTTTGCCCCCCAGGCGCTTGAAATATAAAAAAATAGTCCAGTGTACTCAATTTCAGAGTTACGAGGGTTTTTTTTTCTCAAAATTTTTTCAAATATGTGTAGAACAACACTTACGAGGTACTTGTTTCAAATTCAACTCCTAAATAGTCAATTCCGTGAATTTTTTAATTGAAAAAATCAATATTCCTGCAAAATAGCCAGGAAAATAATCCTGAAAATAATTATAGTATTTTGGATTTGAGGAAACAATTTAGAAGTATTCATTCTCCGGGCTGTTTTGCTTGAATATTGCAATTTTTTATTCGGAAAAGAATGAAATTGGTTATTTAGAAGTCGAATTTCGAAAAAGTACCTCGTAATTGTTATTCTACAGATCTTCTGAAAAATTTTGAAAACTATAGATTCTGAGATTTTCAATCATCAAGTTTGTCTATTGAAGTAGCTCCACCCTCACGATAAATTTGAAAATCATTAAAAACTGCAAGGAATTCCCAGGAAATTCGATTCGATTCGGAAGCGTATTTTTTTCTCAATTTAATGGCCGTTTGGATTTTTTAGTGAAAAAATGGTGGAAAATCAGGATTTAAACCAGTGCGGGGCTGTTCATTTATTCCGAAAGACATTCAGAGGGAGGGTCCTAGGATTTCTGAGTTCATTATTTAGTGGCGGAGGGGGGGGGGAGGAAGAGGGTGAAAATGTCATATAAATACGGAAAAAAGTCACGTGTTACCAAATAAAATTTGCAGTGGTGGAATTTTTCCCTGGCCGTCACTTTGAGCATTTTTTCCAGTGCCAGCACTAGAATTTTTTTAGAGAATTTCTCTCCGTGCAAAAATTCGAAATGGAGGCAAATCCGTTACGATTACGAATAAATTATTTTTAAGGTGGAAAATTGATTGTTTCTGAAGGATTTATAGAAAACGATAAAAATATGAATTTGTTAATTATTTCATAAATTTTTCACACGAAACAGTGTAACAAAACGGTTATAGATCCCGTCAAATAGTGAAACAATTAGAAGGTCCAAACGGGAAAGATTTTCTTCCTTCACCCTCCTGTATGGCCCATGTGATCTTTTCAGGCGACTCTAACGTTTGACCCATATAACTATTTGATTCTACCCGTCTGTTCGACCCTTGTGAAATAAGAGCTTTGGACTCTGGTAAACTGGATAACCCGGATAACGCATTTTACCCCTCTCCTCCTCCTAGTTGATACGAAAAAAAAAATCATCTGAATTCCGCTATACATTCGGTTTTTGCTATCGTTTCATTTTGCCCGGCGTTTCACTTTACCCTGGGTTGCCTACGACCATTTTTTATGGATAATAATTATTATACAATATAATTCATTCATTTATAAAAAATCAATTTTCCGGCCTGAAAATACTTTTTTCATCACGCTGTGACGAACAGTGAACTTTTCGGCACGCTCCGCGTGCCTAAAAGTCCAATTTCCGCCACATTGTGATGAAAAATATTGTTCGTAACTGGTGAAAAAATGTTTTTTAGCTAGTGGGATTATATCACTCACCTTCGGCTCGTGATATAAACCTGCCACTCGCCAAAAAACACTTTTTTGCACTCGTTACAAAATATACTCTTTCGAAATCGTAGCAAATTTATAAATTTTCAGAATTTTACTAGAAATCATTTTCAGGCACAAAAAATAAGGTTCCCAAAAGTTTAAACAATTTCAATTACTTATTTATGAGAAGGAAATGTAAACAATAAAAAAATTCTTTACAAAATGGAATTTGAATGAAGCTCGATATCCATGAATTTTTTCAAATTTATTGCATAAGGATCTGAGATAAAATCAGAAAGTCTACGTCTGGAGAAAAATCTATAACATAATTCAAAAGATACGATTTTTGAAGATTACGATCATTTTTCATGAAAAATTTATTCAAAATATGAGTATTCCACCCTGCAACGATTTTTTTGGAAATCCTAACAAATTTATTAACATTCAGAATTTCACCATCAATCGATTTCATGCCTCAAAATAAGGTTTCCGAAAGTTTAAACAAATTTAATTATTTAGTTGCAAGAAGGGAATGTTTGAAAGAATCATAATTATTTATAAAATGTAATTGAAATAAAGCTGAGTAACCATGATTTTTTTTTTAATTTTCACACGTAATTTGATTGAAAAATTTAATCATTGAAAATGTCTGAATGTATAATGTGATCCGTATCAAACTGTAACAAGTACTTAAATATATCCTCAAATTTACTGGGTGGTTTACTGGGGAGACACTGGACCAGTAAAATATTTGGTGGAACCCAATAAATTTACTGGACAGATAAATTTTAACAGTCTGTTAGTCTAATAGGCGGTCAAATTCGCCTAACAGGGGCTGGTGCAACCGGGCCTGATTCAAATAAATCATTTCTCTGGGTTAAGTTTTTTGTTTGAGTTTTTCAATGAAAAAAGAGCATTTATGTCGAGGATTTCCTATAGGAAATATATGGAAAGATGAAATTCAAGGGATTTTTTTTATAAAGTAGTTTCTATTGGACATTTTCCAACTAATAAAATTTTCTATCAAATATTTTTTAATCATGAGGATTTGGGAATTCTTTCAGTTAGTTATGGCCCCACCAAATCCGCAATAGAAAGGAAATTGATAATCAAGTCCATGGAGCATTACGAGTTGCTATTGCAGTTGAGTATTCACCAAGATTTTCAAATATTCAGCAGCCTATCAAAAAGTTTGATAATCACCTAATTTCCAGATTTGCAAAATCATTTAACGAGATTATTTTTTACGTGATATTCGTTCAGTACTCGATAAGTTGCTTCATAGTATGCTTGAGTGTGTATAGATTAGTTAACATGAGTTTCAGTGATCCTGCGTATGTCTTTACGATATTCTATTGCGGCACTGTCATCATACAGACGTTCAGCTACTGTTGGTTCGGCAATGAGGTTATCTTAGAGGTGAGGGCTTTCAATTATTTAGAAGGGTTGTGCAGTGTCGTTGTTGTAGAGCGCTAATGTGAGCGAGTCGCTGTATAATTCGGAGTGGTATTCGTTCGATCTTGCAACATTGAGGGACTTTTCAATAATGCTGCATAGAGTGCAGAATCACATAGAATTCTCCTGCACTAGGCTGTTCGTTCTTTCTATTGATTCCTTCAAAAATGTAAGTTGATGAATGATTGTGATATTTATATTTTTGCTGGGTCTACCGTAAATGCGGTGAACGCGTACTTGACGCGTGACGCTAACGAATCTTCCGACATTGAATTCCTCTTTATTATTTAGGTCACAGGGTAAAATGGGGTAAAATGGATCGGTTTTAATCGTCAATGAGTTGGAATCGATAGAGAGAAATTCTATAATTTTTTTATCAGTTTCGAAATGTCATTTGATCAGAGGAGGTTAAAAATTTGAACAAATCCATTTTGTCTCACATTTTTTAAATCTAAAAATGTGTGTTTTTGGATGATTATGATATTTATATTTTTTCTGGGTCATTTTGCTTATGTAGGGGAGCAATCGAGTCTCGTATGCGCAACGTCGGTGAACGCGTACCAAACGCGAGACGCTACCGCATTTCCTGACACTGAATTTCTCTTCATTATTTAGGTCACAGGATAGAATGGGATAAAATGGATCGGTTTGAATCGTCAATGAGCTGGAATCGATAGAGAGAAATTCTATGATTTTTTATCAGCTTCATAATGCCATTTGATCAGAAGAGGTTAAAAATTTGACAAAGCCCATTTTATGTTTAGATTTAAGAAATGTGGGTTTTTGGATGATCATAATATTTATATTTTTTCGGGGTAATATACTTATGTAGTAGAGCGGTCAAGTCTCGTACGTGAAACTGCGGTGAACACGTACTTGACGCGAGATACTACCACAACTTCTGACATTGAATTCCTTTTGATTGTTCAAACTGCAGGGGAGAGTGGGGTAAAATGGATCAGTTTTGATCGTCATCAACTGGAGAGTAGAGAGAAAAAGACAAAAATGCCGTTTGAACAGAAGTGATTAAAAATTTAGAAAGATCCATTTTATTCCATTCTTTTATTTCTAGATTATGAAGTTGACCTACAGTGGATTGAATCTCCTGATGCAGTCATCGTAACATGTTGCATATCGTTCGGAAGATCAAGAAGACATGAAGGACTTGGGCGAAGAACTACCTTGGAATGACGTAGTAGTAGTGAAATGGTAGTCATGTACTTCCATAAGTTCCATCAATAGTGATCATTAACTATTTTTTAATGATAAAAAATCCCCGAAAATGTTAAAATTCAATAGCCTACTCACATTCCTTGAATAAATTTATATAAAACTTCTATGAAAGGTCCACTGTTGATTCCTCCCGACAAAGGTAAAACCCATCACTGAAGATATTAGCAGCTACTGCTGCCCGAGAATATTATTTAGTCTGAAGGATGAATACATATTGTAAAATACAAGATATTCGAGGAGAATAAATGTTTATGAAAAGAATTTTAGGGCGAAATAAATTATAAAAAGAAATACAAAAAGGATTGACGCGTCCGCGGACTAGAAGACAAAATAAAAGAATAACGGGAAAGAAAGAGACGATCGTATATGAAGGTGGTTGAGAGGGAGGAAACGGTTTGCCCTTTTACGTAACACTATCAATAGAAAAACCCGTAGAAACTCCTGAAGGAAACCCATAAAATCGATCCGATGAATAAATAAAAATAGCGTGGTTTTCTTGCAGCGGAACATTTATCATTCACGAATCGCTAAAGGGTTGTAGTCTTTTCATTGTAAGAAAATATACCTCACGACGCAGGAAAGACAATTGCCTTCTTCCTGGGAAAATGAATAAATAATTATCAGAGTAGAGTTGACAAAAGTCAGTACCACGCAAAAGACTACATTTTTTTTTTGCATCATAAACTTTTCATATGACTATTATTATAATGACAGTATAGCATTTTCAACGGACGGAAAAAAATAAAATTGTCAGCCGTCTTCCCCCACCATTTCTGCAGTGTCGCAGCAATTTTCGAACACTTCCCAGATCTTTCTCGCCACAAAGTATTTTCACTTGTACCTGAACGTTCTATTGTACATAACAGTTTATCCATCGGCACTGACAGTCAAAGCACTGTCCCTTCATCTTCATGCGTTTGCTTTGTGCGGTGTTTGGTGACCGCTCAGCTGGACATCATAACCCAAGAAAATCTTGTATCGCAGTTATTCATTTTGCACTGTTGGGTTGACTTTCATATTAATTATCTCTCAAGTAATTGAAGCTTCAGTGTCACGAAAAGGACTAGCGGATCTTGTTCAAACGCTCTTTCTGAGCACTTCAGCAGTTTCTCTGGGCTACAAGGCATTCAACGTAATGATCAAACGCAATAATTTCATCGAACTCATGAGATTGTTAAAATCGAAAATCTGTCAGACAAGAGAGGACAAGTTCGATCAATGCATCCGGTGGGTGAATTTTTCATGTATTTGGAAGATAATTGTGCTTTCGAATGGAAGTTTTGTAATCTTTTGAATTCAAGTTTTGGATTTTTCGTGGTGCATCTAAAGTGATAAGATCCAAATAATTTTATTTAACTACATATACAACCAGTTGATAATATAAACAAATTTACACTATTGAATTTACTAATGGGACATTCCATGTCAACTCAGCCACACCGGATTTTTTTTTGTCTGGGAAAAATCATTGAGTAGGTGCATTTTCAACTACTACATATAGCCAGTGATCATGCAAAATTTCATTGCCCTGCCACTTTTTATTTCTGAGATAATCATTACGAAACTTGAAATTTTCCAAAAATCATCACTTCTGAATGTAGCATCCGATTCTGATAAATAAAAAAAGAAAATTTTCGTTTTTTCTCGTACTTCAAGATAAAAAATACTTCAGAGCCATCAAGAAGCTCCTAGACCGGTTTTTCGAGAATTTTTTGCGTTTTCATTTTTCTTTCACTCTAGGGCCGCTCGATATTCGATCGAAATATTTTTTTTATGATAGAGGATGTCCTTATATGATATGAAAAAAATACGTGTTGGAATTCATGCCTGAATACAAAAATTAATTTCTTAGTTTAGTTAAACATTTTCTCTTTTCCACCCAAACACTCAGGGTGACATTTATGGCTTTTCTTAGAAAATAGAGACGTGAAGAAAAACAGTCCTCATGGTGAGTCACAAAGGAGAGGCTGAAGAAAATTGAAACAAGGGCCTTTTGTCAAATGGGTCCAGAGAGTGAAAACTCTCATGACTTTTAGTTAGTCGTCCTAGAGACTTCGTTGGAGAAAGATATACCTTCTGCGTGCGATCATTAAAGAGTTTTACTTTGAAGAATAAAACTAATGTGTTTTTATTGAGTATTCCTACACATAATCCAATATGTTATGGGCCCAGGATACTCCGCGTTTTATAGTAGTTAATTTCTTTCTATTATGGTCAAGTTTTTCTTATTTTGAGTTATTAAAAAGTGAATTAAAATGTCTACGTCGTTGAAAAGCGATAGGAGAAACATTAAGTTGTTCGATGGTGAAAAATATAATGTTTGGAGATTCAGGATTTATGCTTTACTCACTGAACTCGGTGTAATAAAAGTGATTAGTGAACCAGTTCCTAATTATGTAACTGCAGAGTGGAAGAAATTGGACAGTACTGCCACAAGTGTGATTGTTAATTATTTAAGTGATTCATTTTTGGGTTTTGTCACAAATGAAACCAAGGCAAGAGACATTTTTGAAAAATTGGACAAATTATATTTGAGGAAAAGCCTTGCGACTCAACTTGCACTGAGAAAGAAGTTACTTGCACTGAAACTGGAGGGCGAGACAACCCTGTTGAAACATTTTGTGAATTTTGATGACTTGATTAGTGAATTAATCACAGCCGGTGCTAAATTAGAAGAGATGGACAAGATCGCACATTTGTTATTGACAATGCCAAATGCATACGATGGTGTAGTTACGGCAATAGAGACTTTATCAGAGGATGCATTGAGCTTGGAATTTGTTAAAACACGACTGCTGGATCAAGAAGTAAAATTAACAAATGAAAGTCGAGATACCAGTAGTAAAATTCTTCAAGCTCAAGCCCAAAATGCAAGTGTCAGAAATGAAAGTGATAAGAAAAATCAAAAGCATTTTCGACAAAAACCCAAAAGACCGAATAAATTCAAAGGACAAAATAAATCGATTGGAATCAAGTGTTATCATTGTGGAAGGCCAGGGCATCAAATTAAAGATTGTATTCATCACAAAAGACAACAAGAATACACTAAAAACAGGCAAAATAAAAACACTGCACAAATAATGCAGGTCGAGCAGCCCTCGGCTTCAAACGTCTTCAAATCGAGTTTCGCTTTTATGGCTCTTGAACATGTGGCATTTGAGGAAACACAAAAAAAAATTGTTTTTCTCCTCGACTCTGGGGCCACAGACCACATCATAAATCGTTTAGACCTGGTGACAGATTTTGAAGACCTGGAGATCCCAACACAAATTACTGTTGCAAAGAAGGGTGTTTTCATCACGGCAACAAAAAGGGGTACGCTGCGGGTGACAAGCAACAAAGGTTTCCAGGGAGAACTTAAGGATGTCCTGTACTCGCCTGATTTACCCCACAATCTACTCTCTGTTCCGAAAATGCGTAAGGCTGGATTTACGGTAATTTTTGGACCAGAAAAGGTAGGAATTTTAAAAGATGATCAAGTGATCATGGAAAGTCAATCCGTCAATGGATTGACCGCTCTCGAGTTTGCGGTTATCTCTCAAAGGGTAAAGTTAGCTAATCAAGCATCTAATAATAAAATTAATTATGAAGTTTGGCATCAACGCTTGGGACATATTGGTAGAAATAAATTTTTAGAATTGAAAAACAAAGAAATGATTGATGACATAGAGTTGATTAAACAAATCACACCAAATGATGATTTGTGTGAGCCTTGCATTAAAGGAAAACAAGCGCGGTTGCCATTCAATAAGGCTAAAGATAAGTCTCATATAGACAGACCGTTATTCATTGTACATACAGATATTTGTGGGCCGATTACTCCTCCGACAGTTGACAATAAAAACTATTTCGCGACATTTATTGATCAGTACACGCATTATTGTGTTACATATTTGATGACACAAAAATCAGATTTATTTTTGGTTTTTCGAGACTTTGTTACTAAAAGCGAAGCTCATTTCAATTTGAAAATAGTAAATTTATACTCCGATAATGGGAGAGAATATTTGTCAAATGATATGAAAAATTTTTGTCGGGAGAGAGGAATTAGTTTTCACTTAACGGTACCGAGAACTCCGCAATTAAATGGCGTAGCCGAGAGGATGAATCGGACAATAACGGAGAAGGCTCGGACACTTATATCTGGTGCTTGTTTAGAAAAGATTTTTTGGAGTGATGCTGTTCTTACAGCCACGTATTTGATAAATAGAACACCCACGAAAGCTATAAAAGAAAACAAAACACCATTTGAAATGTGGCATAATAAGAAGCCACAGATTAAATATTTGAGAATATTCGGTTCCACTGTTTATGTGCATGATAAAATCAGTAAAGGTAAATTCGATGAAAAATCGTGGAAAGGAATACTGATGGGATATGAACCGAATGGTTATCGTGT